AAGTCAACATTCAAATTTTGCATTGTCTTTGAATTTAAATTTATTTGAAATTTTTTACATTAAAATTCCAATTCAACATCCTGTTTACTACCTGAATTTAAAATGAATTCTCAGTTCAGTTTTGCATACTGCACAGATTGAGGTAGTCTGCTGAATTCACCCCAAAGAGCTTTGCATGAGTTATGATACTCTTTCGATTTATATGCATGTCTCTAAAAGTACAAAAGTTTGCGGACAAAGGGTACATGAGGACTATAATGAAGTCAACTGTCAATCCCAAAGATTCCTTTCATTTTTGCTATCTGTTGTCGGTGGACATGACAGGTAGATCAGATATGACAGGCTGCAGTGATAAGAGGTGGAGAATTATTCTTTATGTCTCCTGAGATAAAGAAGAAAGCAGACCGACTTAGAGGACTCTCATTGTTACTCTATAGAGTTGTTTTGGAAAATCTTGCTCTTTCTATTAGCTCACTCAGTCTTGTTCCCTTGGTACCAGCTACTGCTGGCTAATGTGGTGCCACATGAGTGCTAATAAGTTCTCAGTTGTAAAGGGCATCTAACTCTATTAAGAAAACACTTTCTGAGGAGGATAATTATTTAATATAAGAAAAATAAAATATTTAGAATAACCTACACAATTTGATTTGTATGGCCAGATTTGTTTTATGTGACATGAGGGAGGCTAATGCTACTGTCATTTAGGGGAGCGCGGGGCACAAACTAATGCGGGTTAGTTGTAACACATGTGGTTTAAATATTTCCACACATTCTAGAATAACAAAATTTACGATATTTCCTAGTTGCCATATCAACACTATATAGAGGAAAAAAGTGTGCCAAAATTCTCAAATCTTTTGAAGATATCGCTGAACATTTATTTTAACATAGTAAATATACATTTCTGGCTTAAGTTTTGCATCTCAGTTTTTAGTATTCATTTAAAATGAAAAAAATCTGCTATTATTTTAATTTCCAATCTGTTATTTATCAGTTTAGTTTTTTAATGCTTCGCTAACTAGCAGAAGACACTAACCAGTTTTAAATTCCAGTTGCGCAGATGGGAAACGTTGTAACACTGTGTTACAATGTGCCCCGCTATTATTACGCTATTCTATTCTATTATTATTATGCTATTCTATTACATTAGCTATATAATTTACACTGTTTGCTTTAATGCATTTTAATGAGTAACTACGAGAAACAGGTGAAAAAAGACTGACAGTTAATGTTTAATGTTCAGAAATTATTATTTCAAGAAATGTAAAGCATTTTGGCTCGTTTATGGGCCGTACCAAGCATGGGTGTTTAATTGTCAAACTCCAAAATTAGATTATTTGTAATTCTTAAAAAATGCCATTATTGTATTTGAAAAAGTTAATAATTTTATTTTATTGACAAAATATTTTAGTTTGTCTTGCATATTTTTTTTTCCATTAGACCAGATAACATTTTAAGCTGTTATGTGGTCATGTTACAACGTGCCCCTCAGATGTTACAATGTACCCCACCTACGGGGCATGTTGTCACATTTCACTTCCATTTTTGAGGGTAAATAAAGAAAAACGTATACACTGTAATTATGAAAGAAAGCGACATATTTGTACTAGACAAGTGTGAAATTACTGTGGATAAAAAAAAAAAATATGAACCCCTTGTGGATTTACACAAACTGAGAAAGTCAAAAAGTGTTAGGTTGTTCCCCACTCTCCCCTACTGCACTAGGTATTAGAATTGAGGAATATGTAGGCAATTTAGCATTGTTCTTCATTTTATATTTCTAAGAATAACAACACCTCCAGTAGCTGATTACTCTAGGGACACAAGTCTTTGACTATAGTTAAAATAAAATGGAAAGTTCAAAGTGAAAAGCCAAAAATAATTAAAGAAATATGCAATTCACACTGAGTCCGAAAAATACATATACAGTAATTAGTGTATTATCACTTATCATTTTAAGTATACAAACTTCAAATACAGTTAAGTACCTCTTTACTTATTCATACTAAGAGCTTAAGAGCACTACTAAAAGCTTGTTGAATGTACTTGAATGGAAAGGTGGTGGACTTTAAAGCATATATTAAATTGAGATAAATTTGTACAACCAAAGCTAAGCAACCATAGAATGTATTTTTCTTTCTTTTTTTATTCAAATAACTGAGTGTATGATTGAGAAAATAGCCTTTCATACATTAATAAGGCATGAATATATCTCCTACTTCTCAAATGTTGTTAGCCCTTTTACATTTCTGTGAGCTATCGTTTCATCTCTTGCTTTGCAAAACTGCTAACTTGAATATTTCATAGAAATGCTGCTGTTTGTCGTCACACTGATTTGTGTGTATTAATGGCTTCTCAGCAGTATTGCTAAGGCTCTGTGGGGTGTTATAAATCTCTCTATAAAGAAAGCGCATGCAGGTTCTAAATGAAAAGTTTTGTGGAAAACAACTGGATATTCCTTACATAATATAAAAAAGTCAACAGTATTTTTCAATCGTGAGTAATTTTATTTGAAAAGCTTTTTAAAATACTGTTGTTTTTATATGATCCCAAACAGAGAAAAGGTTCCTCGATATGCACCACTATTACAGTTTTTCTCGGTCGCTTTGGTGCATTTCTCGAATCATTCTTAATATTTGCAAAGAAGTATGTGCATTTCTCAAAACAATTTGTACAAACAGCATCACACAATGAACGTCAATTTATGTCAATGAACATATCAGTGCCATCAGAATGAAAAGTCCTTGTGTCATTGTTCACAAAACCAAATAGTCAAAATGCTTAGTCATGTTGTCAATATATCAGTGCACTCTGTTAGTATTACCTGATGTAAACTATGGCAATAGTTTAGATGACAGTTACTGTATTGAAATGCAGAAGGCTGCACTTCTTATGTATGCCATATATCCATTTCAAAAGTACAAATTTACACATTACTATATGTGGGATATTGATTGAAAGAGACTGGAGAGGATTCACAGTTACACATTTATACTGTAGTTGTCTGACAAAAAAAATACTAAATAAATAAAAACACATACATTACAATGTCATTGTGATATACAAAAGAAAAAGTAATATGGTCACAAAGGTGAAAATAAAAAAATTAGAAAGTCCCTTGTCAGAATTCGTAACTCTTGTGTTGTCCTCTGTCTATATATGCTTTCCAATTTAAGGTTCATGAGATGAACCTTTGAGCTATTTCAGAGAACTGGTTTGTGATTGGTTGATCTATATTCTCTTCATTAAGTCAAGATTCACTTGCACAATTCATGGCAAATTTACACAAAGCCTAATAGAAATGTGTAGAAAATATGTTTAAAAGTTTATGACAACTAGATCTACAATTTTGCATTTAATGACTTATAGGATGAACTAATGACTAGGGGCCCTATTTTAACAATCTAAGCGCAAGGTCTAAAGCGCACGGCGAAGGTGCACTTAGGGCGTGTCCAAATCCACTTTTGCTGGTTTAACGACGGTAAAAACGGTCGGCGCCCCTGGCGCATGGTCTAAAAGGGTTGTCCCTATTCTCTAAATCAGTAATGGGTGTGTTTTGGGCATAACGTGCAATAAACCAATCAGAGATTCATCTCCCATTCCCTTTAAGAGCCAGTTGCGCTTGTGCCATGGCGGATTTGCTATTTACATGGCGGAATTTGCAAGTGCAAAGACAGAAGCGTTTCCAGAGAGGAAACGGAGCTGCTCGTGCGCGAGCAAATAGGTAGTCTAATTCTGATACAAGCAATGACTGTCCATTATGACATGTAGGCATTTTTATATTTATGTAGCCTACACAATAATAATCTTTTACATTGTAATCCTTTAATTTTTAATATTTGGCATGTTTGTGTGCTGCTGTGCGTCCCTGTGTGTGTAATAAGCAGAGTGTACGCGCGCTGTGGACCCGCCTATATTAACGCGCTCTTTAAATAACAAAAACAAAAAAAAAACTACTGCGCAATTGACTTTAGACTAGGTTTTAGCTGGTCAATGGCGCAGTCTATTTTAGTTGCCTCAAAATAGCAACGCGCCAACAATGCGCTTAAACACACCTCGTTTTCAGACCAGCACGCCCATGTGCGCACAAATGGGAGCAAATACATTTGCTATTTAAACAACGTGGCGCAGGACGTGAAAATATTTTGAGGGGTAAGACTATTGCACAGAGAACTATATAATACATTTTGAGCAACATGACAATAGCAACTGATAATGTAGGAAACCGCAGACAAATGTGCATAAAGTTGCATGAATGTACCAAAGCAATCGCAACTTGTTCAAAAGAATGAGAAACTGCTTTTATGATGTGCACAAGTGACTAGATGACGTGAAGGTTGAACAAGTAGCTTTGAGAAGTTCTTTTCTGATTCGAGAAATGCACCAAACTGAGAAAAACTGTAGTCTAAAACAGTGTAGCTATGCTCATTTTTTTTTCCACAGGCAGTATATTACAGACAGACAGACAGACAGACAGATAGACAGATAGATAGATAGATAGATATTTGTTAATGCATTAACAAAGATTAACGAACAATGAGCAATATATTTTTTGTAGCATTTATTAACCTTTGTTAATGTTCGTTAAAAAATATGGTCATGATAGTTCACAATGCATGAATTATTATTTTTACCAAATACAACTTTTGATCTTAAAAAATGTATTAGTAAATGTTGAAATTAAAATTAACTAAGAATAAATAAATTCTGTAGAAACATTGTTCATTGCTAGTTTATGCTAACTAATGTAGTTAACCAAGGTTAACCAATTAACCCTTAATATAAAGTGTTACATTTTTTATATGGTACTTCATTTTCCAGATCTAATTTTGTATTCAGTTTTTTTTTTTCAGTGCATTCTATTTCTATATACCTCATTATTAATTAATTGGTTTATTTATTTATTTATTTTATCTGCCAGTAAAGTCTTATTGTTGTCCACAGTAAATAACTGAACTTGTCTTTTCAAGTCTGATTGTGTGTTTGTGCGTGTGTTGCAGGTGGTGGGGGAGTGGCGTTTCAGTAAAATCCATTGTGATGTGTTCGTCACCCTGGACGTCATGATGTGTACAGCCAGCATTCTTAATCTGTGTGCCATTAGTATTGACAGGTAGGTTCTGCTGTCAGTTCAGGAAAAGTGTAATGATTCTTTTAAATGGCAAGAATACCATAGATTAATCACATATTTTTGTGGGCAGTGGAACGGGGGGATGTTATACCATATGAAATAGGCATCTTGTTGTTTATACAGTTGCGCTAGCATCCAAAAGTAATTTAAACCCATTTGTTAGTGAGTTGTTAGAAACAGTGAGGGAAAAATAGTTAACTCAAAATTGAAAATTCTGCCTCATGTTGTTCCAAACCTATTTGACTTAATTGATTTTATGGAGCAGGAAGAAAAATGTTTCATCCATATAATGAAAGTCAAAGGTCACCAAAACTGTTTGGTTACCAACATTCTTCAAAATATCATATTTTGTGTTCTGCAGAAAAAAAGTAAGTCACACAGGTTTGAAACATCATGAGGGTGAATAAATGATGAAGGTGCAGAACACTAAAGAGTTTAACTTCACTAAAGAGTTTTATAGGGCAAAAAAACGTGTGTCTTATTCACTAACATGAAATTCAGTTTAATCAGGTGCTAAATTGCCTTCTGTAATTAAAACCGTGCTATTTCCATCCACAGAAAGCAGGTGGTGTACTGAATATTAGTTAAAAAGAGATGTTTGTCTACATTTTTATTGATCATGGCAGCAAAAGTTCATCAAATGATGACCATTTGATGGAGAAGAACGTTATGAATGGGTACTTTTGGCATTCTGAAGAGTCCCAGTAAAGCATGTCAGATTACAGTAGTCCGCTGCAAAGAACAGATAGTTCTGTCATGAATTCAGTGCTAAAACAATGCAGACATCACTAACAAAAATCACATTCAGTGCAATTCATGCTTAGTGAAGTCCCCCAGAATGTAAAAGCTTTTTGTTAGAGTAGGAAGACCCCTGAAAGGTTTGGAAATGATAGTGATGATCATGATGAAGTTTAGGTTTATTACAGTTACAAAAGCAAGAGAGATGATGGCACAATAATGGCAGCTGGTATCAGAGGTAGCTGGTCAGGTGTGACCATCTTTGTTTCCTTCTCTGTTTGTCTGCCTGAATGCAAATCCACCCCAACCCATCCACCCCCTCTTCATCTCCTTCCCTCTGGGCTTCTTGTGCAGGTACACGGCTGTTGCCATGCCGATGTTGTACAAAACACGCTACAGCTCCAAGAGACGAGTAACGGTAATGATCTCGGTGGTTTGGGTGCTTTCATTCACTATTTCCTGCCCCTTGTTGTTTGGATTAAATAACACAGGTAAATGTCTGAGTTTTTTTTTCCCCTAATATTCATAAAGCAACAGTTCACACAAAAATTAACATTAGGTTATTGACTCACCATCATAGTATTCCGAACCAATATGCTATGTTTTTGTTTTGTTTTGTTTTATTTTGTTTGAAATACATATATTTTTATACATATATTCTTAAAGAATAAACAAAAGAGACAAAAACACCACAATGACAAATAATATTTTATGGCATTCATGACATTATCACTATGAACTTGTCACATGTATTCCACAATAAAACAACAGCATAGAGATTCACTGAAAATGGAGCTTTGCCATCACAGAAAAAAAATAGTATATTCAATTTAATATTTAAATTAATATTATAAAAATTAAATATAGATTTTTTTGTATTAAAATATATTAAATAAAAATAGACAACGATGGCCATTTTATTCTTAGCATCATTTTTTTAAATAATTTAATGGCCCAAAGTAGTCGAACACGATGCAATACAATTCCAGAAGCAAGCAAATTGTCCATCCACACCAGATGCTACATGGCTATGGGACGCAACAAAATCACCGCCAATCAGAAGAACGTATGGCTGGGCTCTTTCTGCAAGTGGACAAGAACATAATCGAATTCATAAATATTAAACCATTTAAATATGATTAAAATACGTACTGAGTGACTGATATAAATTATATCAGTCACTCAGTATGTATTTTAATCATATTACATCCAAGCAAGTTACTGAACTCTCACTGTATGACGTTACAGAACGTTGTCCGGTCCAGTTCCTTTCACACAGCAGTGTTGTGTTTCTGTTAATCTGCGTGTTGACATAAAGATACTCTCGTGCTGCGGCTATTTACTAGCGAATGCATTGTACATTCCGCTTACAGTAGCTTATATCGATGGAACACGTGGAACATACCAACTATGCAAACTGTGTGGGGGGAACCTAAACTGAGCCATTCACTATATAGGCTACTACAACCAGGGCGTTCCTGAAAATGAGTGTGTGAGTTTGTTTACAGAACGCTGTTGTCACTGCTGCAAACTCCCATATAAATAATTATTCAAAAAATATAATTTCCCTGCAGCCAGTGGGCCCCTTTTCCAGTGTAGGCCCCTGGGCTTCAGCCAGGATATAATCTTTGTCATGAAATACACTTGTTGGTTCACTGTTTTAAAGGGGTCATATGATGCTGCTAAAAAGAACATTATTTTGTGTAATGAAATGTGTTTATGCGGTTTAAAGTAAAAAAAACCACATTATTTTCCACATACTGTACATTATTGTTTCTCCTCTATGCCCCGCCTTTTTGAAACGCGTCGATTTTTACAAAGCTCATCGGCCTGAAAAAGCGAGGTGTGCTCCTCATATGACCCCTTTAATATTTATGTTTATTGTTGCTTTCAGTATGGCTATACATGTCAAGGTAAATGATATTCAAACTCTATTCAAACAGTTGTTCTAGCTGTGATGTCTCAGAAATAGAAACCGTATCTAAAATATAATCCATTGTTGCTAGTTTTGTATCACCATTGTGGCTGGTTAGGACAAAAACATAATAATAATAATAACAATAATAATAATAATAATAATCTTATAATAGCTAATAATCTTATCCCAAGCCTCCTTTGCTAATTTCAAAAAGAAAGAAAATGTGCTTTCCATAGATAATAAAATGTAATTTAATGGGCAAATCATGTTAAGTTTGTAATTTGTATCCTGTTGTTTGTTATATTTAGTTGTTTGGTCAATGTCTTTGCAGGTTTTGGTCCTATTTCTGCTGTAGATTGAAAGGACCTTTGAATTAACCTAAATCATTTGGCGAAGTGGAACTGTACTGCTGTCAAGACCTGCATTAAACTACTTTAGCTGTGTGTTCCCTAAACAATAATTGCACACCTTAGAACATTCATCAGCCAGTCTGAATCAAGCATTCAAAAGCTCCATAGTATATGCATAATTGCTTGAAATTAAAGACTAAACTTAACCTTAAATCTAAACCTATAGTAAATGCATTTTAGTTAATATTACCCAGTACTTTGTGTAATTACACTGTATCAATGACATAACCAAATATAAAAATCTTGCTATTCAAACTTTTTAAATTTATACATATTTTTATACATATATTTCTATGTACTAATATATACTTCATTTTCCAGTACAGCATTTGTATTAAGTTTTGAGTTCACTCAACATTGTTGTCATACTGTTATAAATTTTCCAGTATGCATCTAATCTAATTATAATCTAGAGCTAATTTGCAATTGTTAGGGGAAATTTGCCATACAGGCATTTGCCAGTGCCTCAATGAACTAATTAGTTTTGCAGCCATAATTAATTGTGTAACCATATTTTACTCACTCTCTCTCTCTCTCTCTCGTTCACTCTTAGCTACACGGGACGATACCGTATGTGAAATCGCCAACCCCGCTTTTGTTGTCTACTCCTCCATCATGTCATTCTACGTGCCCTTCATCATCACCCTTCTCGTGTACGTGCAGATCTATGTGGTTCTTCGTAAGCGTCGAAAACGGGTCAACACTAAACGGAGCTGCCAGAAGACAGATGCTGATGCTCAGCCCCCTCTCAAGGTGATATGCACCATGTGAGACAGTAGCCTCAGGGAAAATACCCAGCATTCTCCACTGGACAAGGCATGGTGTCATTGTTGTTTTACAAAAAAAGTTGCCCTCTTTCTAGAAAATATGGGGAGCAGCTTTCAGTATTAATTATAGAATTCCTGGGGTAATGCCAGCACCTGCAGGACACCGCCGGAAATACAATGACCCCAAAATCTTTACTCACCCCTGGAATCAGTATTATGTTACAGTGTTGTTAGATTCATTTAATGCTTGATTGTGGCTACTGGCAGACAGATGTCTTAAGGATACTGATGAAAATTAATGGTGGTTTTATCTTTAGACAGTCTGATTCCAGCAGCTCCACTGTGTATTTGGTATCTGGTTATGGGGGTATTGCCTTAGCCTTTGTTGAATATGCATTACCCACTGGACACTGTGAAAGTAAAGCCGTTAAAGCAAAAGAAGCCATTGACATTTTTCCTGAGCTGCAAGGTTTTTAAACATAATTCCCTGTGCAATTTATGTGTCAGAGCAGATTGTGAATATGATATACCGGTTACCCTTTATTCATATTCTATATTCATCGCAATACAGACGAGCTACAAATTATTTCTTTCTTCTGACCTTTGTGCTCTTTCATCATCGATTTCTTGCACCAGCTGTTTTTAATGGCCACTTTGGATCAATGGGTTCAGCTGTCTAGTTTTAAAGGGTCCCAAGGACTTTTTGTGGTACTAACAAATTACTGAAGCAATCTCTTTTTCATTCGGCTTTTAGTGCTAGAAAGGCTCTTTTGTGTTCAGTGGATTTATTTGCATTGTGTGTCATCAAGAGGCACCAAATATACCTATGAATGATTTTCAAGGCTCCATGCTGTCTTTGGAATTTAATGTCGACCACATGCTGAATCAAATTCTTATTACTTTTGCCACAGGAAAAGTGCACTCATCCTGAAGATGTGAAACTGTGCACAGTTATCATTAAGACCAACGGGGGTTTACCTGCCAAAAACAAGAAAGCAGTAAGTGCGCTTTACTTATAAAACAAGTCATGAAAATGATGTAAAATATAATGCTATTCTGTAGATTCAGTATATGTATGCAGCTGCCTCTACATTTACACCATTACATCCAATATAGCTCAGTGCTTTTTGCCTCATTATGGGGAGAGAAGTGCAGTCATAAAACAAAATCTGTACAGAAAATGGAGTTGGCCGTTTGGAAGTTTACATACCACATAGCTTTTGTTTATGAATTCAGTTTACATTAAAAAAAATGTATCCCCGCTTAATATACAAAGACAACTAAATAAGCAACCCAGGCTCATGAAAAATACATGCCTATGTCGACCTTTTTGCAAAAATTATATTTAAGATGCTTCTTTAATGTTACACCAGGTGAGCTACTGAGCAAGCTTACTATGATGGAAAGGCCATATATATGCAGTTGGTTATGTGATGCGAACATTAAAATGCAAAAATTGTGCATTGTGGTAAAATTTTTGTGAGGCGATAACATGGTATTGTGCAAGGAACTGCATGGAAGTTAGTCTCATTAATGGATCATCTGCCCTGTAATCATAATTTGCTTAAAAAGTAATAAAAGTTGTTTTACTGCCTCTAGTGTTTATTTCAGCTGAAAACTGCAGGGAATTATATGTAGAGGTAGGTACGTTTTTGGAGTTTTGCAAAAATGTTGGTAATTTTTCCACTGAGCCTGGGTTGTAAGCCAGCCTTTTGATTTCCATAAAAAAAAAATAAACAAACAATTATTCCACTTTTACACATGGTATATTAATGCAAATACCTGTTATTCGCTAACTAGCCTGTTATTCACTAACTATACTTAGTTATTCAATAGCTGCAGTGCTATATTATTGCTAAAATTGCAAATAGACCTATGTTTTATGTAAATTAGACTCATTATAGACTGCACTTCATTCACAAAAGCTGCACAATTTCCATTTTCTATTATTACTAAATGAAAACAGGTGGTTTTTAAACATAGCCTAGACTATATATAAAAATATATTTGAGTGCATTTCATAGGTCGATTTTATTGCACTTATAAAATAAATTACATTGTTAACAGTATCACATTTATTTAACAAACCCATTTACCATTATATAAGTTTTTCTTGTGATTACTAAAAACTGTAACCAGTACTAATTTGCATGCATATGACAGTAAACACATGCATGCAAATTAGTAAACAAGTGAAATACATTAATATGTTACACACCATTATGTTGCACTTATTTCATACTTACTGAATAATTTCATGATTAAAAATGATTAAAATTATTTTACTTTTATTAGTCTTGTCAGTATTTAATGCATTAAATGCTTTATTTACTTGCTTTACGTTATTTCTCCATCATTTACTCATATATGAGAGTCTTAATTTTACATTACTAGATTTATATTTTAGGTGCTGCTCTTCTTGTATATACAGAGACCCTAATGGGACGTGGTGATGGGAAAAATATGAGATGGAAGAAAAATTACAAAAATTTCAATACATTTGCTCAGAAGTTTTATTTGAATGAACGCAGAGTTTCTCGGTGGAACATAAAACTTTTTTGAATGAATGCAAAAGCATTAAAATATAATTTTTTCTCCAAACTCATATTTTTTCCATCACTGTGTTCCCTTTGGGACTCCGTACTAAAGTACAAAAATGTATGTGGACACCTTATGTTTGAATACTTATAACTAGCATCACTCTGGTTGTGCAAAGCACACATATTATTAACCACTAGATACATCCATTCTTAGTGTCAATGAAAGCCTTTAAAATTGCAGTTAAAAATAGCATTGCTCATTACATTAGGAATGTAATGCGGAATGTAAAAATAGAATAGTAGGAACATGGAGAAACAGGTTTCAGCAGAAGATAACAGTTGAGTCAAGGTCGTATTTATTTCATGTTAATGAAGTTAATATGACTGATGTTTTCTTTTTCATTTATAATTTTATTAAATATATTTTGCTTTTTCTTTCTTTAACTATAATGGTTAAAAAAGGTGAATAAATGTAAATGAATAAATATAATAGGAAAACTCTGTGGATTCTTCTCTTTCGCGAACTGAATGTTTATTACAGTTGGGTTACTGTGAGTTATATATCACATCAGATGGATTATAGCTGGATTACTGTGAGTCATACATCTATGCTGACAGCCTGCCTGTGTTAAACAAGCATTGATTTAGCAACTACTTTAAATGTGAATAGTTAATGAGAGGGCATAATGTCACCAATTAATGCTGTCAGGAACTGTCAGGTTAGTGCAAATAAGCTTGAATACCCTTTTTATTTTCACACGTAACATCATTTTCACTATTGCTTTGTGTGTACTGCACTGTGTACTTTTTTCCCATGCTGGTCTACTAGTATTCTAGGCTTTATCTAAAATTACAATTGAGTCTGTTGAGGTGCCTCAAGTGTCAACAACAAAATTCTTGGGAGTTTGTTGACAAGAGTCGGAGAAAACAAACTGATTGGGTTAGCAGTAAAATACATAGATCTACTGGTATAATACAGTAAGAAGCGTTAGGCACCTTGTTACCATAGACTGTTTTCTTACTTTTTATTGTCCATATCCATTATCCAGTTTAATTTATCTACAGTATATCTTTCATATTGCAATATAGCTTGGACAAGCATTTTCCCTACTACTCAAAAAATTGTCCTTCAAAAACGTTTTATTAGGATTGCAACACAATCAAATTCATATATTTAATAATTTCCTTTATTTCAGAAACTTCACATTATTATTATTATTATTATTATTATTACTTATTGTATCAATATCTTTCAAATATGGGTTTTAATTTGTAATATATATTTGAGTAAAATGAATATTCCAGAGCAATTTAAAGGGGTCATATGACGTTGCTAAAAAGAACATTATTTTGTGTATTTGGTGTAATGAAATGTGTTTCGATGCCGTGTCCCGGCGCGACGAGACAGAACCAATAAAACCCATTATAAACGAGGCATTTGTTGCATCCAGTGGGGACATTACTGATTATAATGACTTATACTGTCTTTTTACGCATTGCGTTGCATCGCGCCGTGTAAATATAAAACCATGTCTGCATTTGTGATCGGAGAAACTACAAACAACAAGCGCTACTCTACACCGCTCAAACCTCGCATTTGAATCATCAGTGGCAAATCCTTTAAATATGAAAATGTACTTACAGGCTGTGAGTCAGCATTATTTGTCAGCATCACAGACTGTGGTCAGCATGAGTGCCGAAGGGGAAACGGAAACTGAATTCACCAGAACACCGGCATTGTAGGCTACTCTCCCAGGAAACAGTCCTCGTCCTCCGTAAAATGCGTTGCACACATCTGAATATTTGGTTTGAACTGTTCTGGAACAGTGTTGTAAATACAACTTAACCACTGACTTCTAGTTGTGTCCTCTTTTGGAAGGCCAAACAAAGTAGTTTCGCTTTCACAACGAAACACACAGCGTCTCCACATTATGGCGGTGGCAACAATACTACAGCGAAAATCTAAGTTACGCCTTCTTTCTTTGCGTATACATTGGGCGGTGTTATGCAAATGTCCCCACACTGTGACGTAGACATGTGGGGGCGTGTTTGAACGAGGCGTTTTAGGAGGGCTAGGGCTTAACTTTTATAAAGAATATCTCTTTGGGTTTGAGACTTTAGTCTTTGCAACTTTAGGGATCTTATCTATTCACAAACAGCTTGTAACACTCCAAAGAGAAAGGAAAACTTGAAATCGCATCATATGACCCCTTTAAGACTTATTTTAAAGCAAACTCACAAGTTCATTGTTATATAACTTGTCAATTATCCGATTTTAGGCAAACAGCTAACATGCTAGTAATATCACATTAATAATTACATTCTAAAAAATGCTGGGTTAAAAACAACCCAACTTGGGTTATTTGGCAACCCAGCGAGGGATAAATATTAGACAGAACACATGCTGGGTTATTTTGACCCAGCTGGTTGGGTTAAATGTTTTTTTTTACCAAACTTGCTGGGTTGTTTTATTTAAGTCATCTATTGTTTAAAAACTATTATATTGCTGGTTTAAAATGGACTGGAAATTTAAAAAAAAAATCACACACAGAATTACTAGAGGCAACAGCAATAAGCAAAAGATGAACATTTATTATTAAGCAAGAACACATGGACAAAATACAAGACAAATTGAATCTATTTGGGTGAATACAGCATAGTTTACAATATCACATACATTTAAACTCGTTTAACGAGCATTTTAGACATAAAAATGTAACATTCAAAAGTAGCATTTTAATTTAAGTGTATTAAACCGTTCTATGTAATTGCTTTTCGCCAAAATCTGATCCGGTGAAGAGCTGCTGTTCGCGGGAGAACTGCGAACTTCAGACCGCAGCCTCGCTTTTCACTCGTAGCTGAAAGATGCCATGACTGACTCCAAAACCTGCCCATAAACAAACAGTACTGAGATTAGAGAAAACATTTTAACATCAAATTAACTTAAACAGTACTATAACGAATAAAATCCATTTATGTTATGCAACGCAAAAGGTGTTTCCATCAAGCGAAGTGACCGCTGCTGACGCAGCTGACTGACATCTCGTCCTTATGTTGCGTTGCATAAAATAATACAATTTACAGCACAATAAAGACTTTATAAATTAAATAAAATGTATACAAACCTTCATTTAGTTGAAGAAGTGCACCAAATCGGCGGCGCTGAGAACCGCTCTCTCCTGTAGGACTTTATAAATGAAATAAAGTGTATACAAATCTTTATTTTGCTGAAGGACTGCACCAAATCGGCGGCGTTGTGAACCGCTCTCTCCTGTAGAGGACTCAAAAAGCCTGCGCACTAACTGTAACTCAGCAGCTGGGTTGTTTCATCGGAGACAAGCTCAACCCAGTGGTTGGGTAGAAAAAAATAACCCAGCGTAAAAAATGACCCAGCAACTTAGTTATAGAAAAACTACCCAGCACCTGGGTAAAAATATTAAAAACAACCCAATAAAATTACCCAACGGGCTGAACCCAGCATTTAGGTTAAAAAAAATAACCCAGCATTTTTAGAGTGTATATTGTGCAAGTATAAACTAAAACTAAATATATAAACTAAAAAAAAAAAACTGAACTAGTTCATGACAAAGTGTCCTCATACAACTAATGATAAACATGTCTTCAACAGCAACTAATAAAGGAAGTCCTGCACCAGGGTGGTGATGTGGGGGTGGACATTACGCCTGGCACAAGCCCTCCAGAGAAAAAGAAACTGGCATCCACTCTGGTTGTCGACCTGCTGGCCAACCCATGCCCCATCCATGGCTCTCCCTCCCATGGTGAATGTCAGTCAAATGGAGATGATAAAAATGGGCATGCCAAGGAGGTCCAGACCCCTAAAGAATCCAAACCTGTTGAAACTCAGGCACTGCCCAATGGCAAAACCCTAACTACAGTGACCAAAACCATGAGCAAGAGAAAGATGTCCCAGCATAAAGAAAAGAAGGCTACTCAAATGCTGGCTATTGTTCTAGGTGAGGTCACGATACTGTCATTTTATAGAAGTATTCCTCAGCCATATGCCGAGCACAAGTTACATAAAAGTCCTAGATTGAGTTCTTGTCCTCAGAATACCTCAGCTTTATTTTCTCTGTTGCAGGTGTTTTCATTATTTGCTGGCTGCCCTTTTTTATTACTCACATTTTGAAAACTCACTGCACAAGCTGCGTGGTGCCACTGGAAATGTACAATGCCTTCACTTGGCTGGGATATGTGAACAGTGCCGTCAACCCCATCATATATACCACTTTCAATGTGGAGTTCAGAAAGGCTTTCATAAAGATATTGCACTGCTGAGGACATTATTCACTGCATGCATAGAGGAGAGATGGAGGATTTCACAAGAGGTTAGTGCCATCTTTCACTGCCATGTGAAATGAGGGATTTACAAAGCCATGCTTTTAGGGCAGAGTGGAAGAACTCATTACAGAAAATGGAGGTTCAAATGAATGTAAAGTAGAGTTTTATTTGTGTGTCTCCATTATTTCTGGCAGTGGAGTGCATGTGCGAATGTGTGTTTATTCTCTTTTGAACTAAAGTGTGAATGTGATTAATTGTAGAATTGAAGCAAATTTGAGATGATAGGTAATTAGATCTTACCACAGAGACTTTATGCAAGCAGGGACCTGAATGACGTAATTACATTGTTATATCAATTTAGTAGCGAGCAACTGGTTACAAAATGCTTACAGCTCTGTTTGTTCAAGTATGTATTTAATCACCAATCTATGTATTTGTTTGAGAACTTGTTAATAAAGAGATAGCTATTGTAAAGACAAATAAATAAGGTGAAAATGTCATTTACGGTTTTATAAAGCCAGAACACAAAGAAACTAAAGGTGCACTCAGTAATGTTTTGTTTATGTTGCACTGGTCATTTTAAACATATACTGACACCCCGGAGCCTGGAGCGCAGAATTATGGAATTTAAAAGAACAGTTCACCCAAAAATGAACATTTGCTGAAAATGTACTCACCCTCAGGCCATCCAAGATGTATTTGAATTTGTTTCTTTATTGGAACAGATTTAGAGAAGTTTATTAGCATTACATCACTAGCTCATCAATGGATGCTCTGCAGTGAATGGGTGCCATCGGAATGAGAGTATAAACAGCTTACAAAAACTTCATGATAATCCAAAGCACGACTCCTGTCCATCAATTAATGTCTTGTGAAGTGAAAAAGGCATTTTAACTTTAAACTGCCGCTTCTGACCAACATACAATAATCTATAATAATGTTTTGTTCAGTTAAAAAGTCTATCCCCTGTTGTCCTCTCACATCAAAATCCACTGCCTGTTTTAGACTGTTTTTGCTTGATTTGTGCATATTTGTCTCCTGATTCAGATGAGATAACTTTTTCACTGGATAAAGCTATATTATGGATAGAGAACTCATATTTTAGCCGGAAGCAATGGTTTAAAGGGGTCCTATTATGCTTTTTCACTTTTTGAATTTTAGTCAGTGTGTACTGTGTATGTTTGGGCATAAAAAAGATCTTCAAACTTACAAATCTCAAAGTCCACTCTAAAGGGAGATATTTCATTTTGAAAAAATAATTTTTCAAGAACTACAATGAAGGGCTCGTTTGGACTACAGCGTTTGTTTTCCGGGTTTTGTGATATCATAAAGCGGCCCATTAGAATATCATTAAAATATTTTCCGCCTACGGAAATTCGAATGGTTGGGGGTTGGGGAGGGGCGAGGTCGCTTGGTTGAGTGCATCAGACAAGACGACGAAGAAGAAGTGCTGCTGTAGCCTCAAGTTTTTGCAAGTTATTACACATGCACCTGAATAATTATGTATGTAAATATGTATGTTACAATTATGAAAACGTTTTTATAATAAATTGCTGACAGTACAATACTGGACAATGATGTAATCTGCAGAATTTACACTTCAATTATGA